ATGGGGATTCTCCATAAGTTTAATAGTTTTTCTACAGTCCAAACTGTATTTTCTATCCCCTTACCCTAACCCTACACCTAAACCTACCCCTCACCTAAAACTACAGGCAAAAACTTAATTCTGTATGATTTATAAGCTTTTTTTTCTCCACACAAGGTCAAATTTTACTTGTATTACTGTACCTGTGGGGAGATTTTATCCTCATAACATAGGGTATACCTGAACCACATGTGCACACACACAAAACTATTAGTTTTTTTTTTTAATGCCCCGCTAAACAGATTTTCTTACATTAAGCATTTTAAAATGTGGAGGGACAAATTAATTTCAATGAAATTAATCATGAAATTGCATGTAGAATAATATGAGCTATAACAACTTGAAACAAAATGAAAATGATTTATTGACACTGTGATCATTTTTACAGTTTTTCTCGATTGCTTAAACACATTTCTTGAAACTATGCCTCGTATTCTCAAAACAGTAAACGCATCAGCATCCCGTCTTTGTTCTGGGTCAGGCCAGAGAATCTCGTCCACATCACAGGCTATATTGGCCCTAGCCAGGCAGCGAGGGTAAAATCCTCTTGCATGCCTGATCCACCCCTGGCATGCATCTACTGATATGTCTAGGCAGGCTTCTTCCATGGCCTGGAGGAGGTGAGCACGGATATAAGGTTCTCGGTCATATACTTTCCACCACCATGCCAAAAAAAAACTCCTCTATCGGGTTTAGAAAGGGAGAGTAAGCAGGCAGAAAGATGTTAGAAAACCTTGGGTTATTGGTAAACCAGTCACGAACCAGAGCAGTGCGATGGAAGCTGACACGATCCCAAACAAGAATGTAACGAGGCTGCTCTGGCTGTGCTGGTTTCCTGAGGTCCAGCTGGAACATATGCTCTCTTAGACAATCAAGGAAAGCAAGGAGGAGCATAGTGTTATAGGGTCCTAGAATGGCATGACGGTGGGGTAGCCCTCGTTGGCTGATGGCTGCACACATAGTGAAATTCCCTCCGTGCTGACCAGGGACATTTACAATAGCCGATGTCCAATTATGTTCCCGCCCCCTTCTCCTTCTTTTGGTCAGGTTGAAACCAGCCTCATCCACAAAGATAATTTCATGGGGAACAGGCCGGGTTTTAGCAATCGAGAAAAACTGTAACTGCAAGGTAATTTTGATAGTAATAATAAAAAATGATTGATGTGACTACATTAAAAAAACTAAATGACAGATTTCAATCAACACAAACAGAGAAAACACAGAAACACATGGTCACTCAGCAGGACTCACGTACACTGATCTTACTGTCTATATGAGGATTTATTACACACATTTATTCTGATTCATGTTATTTCACTGACAGAAGTTCAGCTGCAGTATTAATGTCATGAAGAGAAAAGAAGAGAAGTGACTCTAACATCTCACTGTTACTGATTTATCATGTAGCTCAAAGCATTATGGGTAGAATACCTCATCAGTCTATTCTGATTCATCAACACAGTTTCACTGATGATCCAGAACCAACCCAAAACCCAAGATAGAGCGGCTGAGTGAATGTGGTCTGGACTGTGTGCATGAGGCTCATTGTGTCAGAGACGCTGTAGAAGGACAGAGTTCTTGCACTGTGATCCACAAACACTCCTATTCTACTGCTGATGGACTTGACAGGGAGACGAGTCTGCATCTTATCGTGTCTGAATGAGTATCTGGAGGGAGTGCAGTGCAAACTCCAGGACTGATCATTATATCCAAACAAACACTCAACACCCCGTCCCCTCCTGCTGATGCTCTTATATGACACTGATATATACACACCATTATCTCCACTCCACTGCAGCTCCCAGTAACAGCGTCCCCACACACTCTCTCTACACAACACCTGAGACATACAATCAAATCTGTCTGGATGATCAGGATACTCGTGATCAGTGTCAGTGAATGTAATCACTCTGTTGCTCTCTGACAGACGGATGTAATTATTCACTGTGTTCAGATCCAGAGTGAGCTGATGGGAATCTGATGGAGATAAAACACATCCGAATCAGGAATTATGAATCTGTTTGATCTTTTCATGTAGCTGAACTCTTCATGTTCAGTGTATCATCAGTGTCTCAGTACAGATGAGCAGATATCTGTGCAAATCATCATTTACATCAGTTATAAAACTCTTCTTTCACCTTCTTCAGGAAGAACATGAACACACTCAGTGAGTTTTTCTGCTTGTTTTCACTGACTTACATTTTAGGAAGTCGTTCCTGGTTCTGGGAACAATGTTGGTGAATGTGACTGTGGAAATCAACAGACATGAACAGTGTGATTCTCATGATCCTGCATCCATTCCTAAGACATTTCTAATATGATGTTCTCCATGATATGAGATTATGATGGATTGGTTTCTGAGAGCAGATGAATCTCCAGTACTTTACCTCTGCCTGAGATCTTCTTCAGCTGCTCTTTGCAGAAATCCTCCAGTTTGTCTCTCAGCTGATGGACAGATTCTCTCAGAGCATCAGAAGAGACGAGAGAACTGAAGAGATCATCATTTACGTCTGTAGATTCAGGAGGTGCTGAGAGAGACTGGAAACTCTACAGAAAACAGAAATCAAAACTCATCAGCTCCACACTTCACCCAATAACCTGCAGGAACATCAGATTTGTGCATTCACAGCATCAGCTTCATTCTTGTCATATTCATTACATCACATTAGAGCTACAGATTCTAGTATTTGCCACTCACACTATATGCAAACTTTCTAGAAAATAAGTTGGATGATAAAACATCTGCTAAGAACATAAATGTCCATCTCATTGTAAGGTTGAGTAAATTTGCTCAGGAAAAGCAGCTCAAAGGCTATGGTTAAATTGACCATTATTTATAACTTTAGAGCTGTTAGAAACACTGAAACTTCACAAGGACCCTTAAGACATGCTCAGGTTTGGTTTGGTTTCTGTTAGGGCTGTCAGTTTAACACGTTAACTTAAATAATTAGTTATGAATAAATAACACGATTAAAATATTCTAATGCAGTTAACGCACTGGCCCCGCCCCCAGACCTGTATGTCATCTTACATTTAAATATGATGCAGGGCAACAACGCCATAAATGCAGTTATGCCCTAAAATTCAAGGTATTGGGGCCAAAAAATGCTTTTTGTCTCAAATTTATATCATATGATAAGCGATATTACACAAGCAGCGAGAGCAATATCACACGAGTGCTGTTTATCCCAAATATAATGAGTGCAAATGTGATTTTTCACATTTTCGCAGCAGTTCAGTAATTAAGAAGTTAATATTGTGTTATATTTTAAACACAATATTGTCTGTTTTTGCTCAGTTTTGCCAACAAAAATATTACCTCTAAAGCCACGGCAGAATTGACCTATCAGAAAGGCCCTACCCTCGAACACAGATGAGCCAATGGCAGTCGAGTATAAGTTGCAAGTGTCACGATGCTGCTGCTGTGTTGGAGCGCGGAGCGAGGAGACGCGGAGATGTGGGGGCATTTACAAAGAACAAATTTTAATTACCAAGGGACACACACACACGTAGCAGGGGAGTAGACGTTTAACACTAGACGCAGGACAAAGGAAAACACCGGGCTTAAATACTAAGAACTAAACAAGGAAATCAATGGAACACACCTGAAATCACTGAACACAACACAACATGAGGTAGAAACTAGGTCACAGGGAAAACAAGGGGAAAAACTAGGACATGGAGCACATGGGGGAGGAAAACAAACACAAAACAGTCCATGGGCATGACATTACTCCCCCCTCCCGGAAGGCGTGTCCTGCGCACTAACAATTCCACCGGGGAGGGGGGGCGGGCGCTCTGGAGGCCTCTAGGGACAGGCTTACATAGGACGGACGGCCTCCAAGGTGGTACCCGTTCCGGGACCTATGGTGGAGCAGGCAGACTAGGGAGCCATGGCGGAGCAGGGAACTCAGGGGGCCAGGGCGGAGCAGGGAACTCAGGAGGCCATGGTGGAGCAGGCAGACCAGGGGGCCATGGCGGAGCAGGGAACTCAGGAGGCCATGGTGGAGCAGGCAGTCCAGGGGGCCATGGCGGAGCAGGTAACTCAGGGGGCCATGGCGGAGCAGGTAACTCAGGGGGGCCATGGCGGAGCAGGTAGTCCAGGGGGCCATAGCGGAGCAGGGAACTCAGGGGGCCATGGCGGAGCGGCCTCCGTGGCCCTGGGTTCGGCACTCAGCCCGGCCTCTACAGCCGGATCCCTACAGCCCCTCTCCAAAAAATTCCTTGGGGAAAATTTCGGGTTCTGAGGCCCTCCGTGGGCCAGATGTGGGAACAACGGCCCTCTCTGGGCTAGACTCGGGAACTGTGGCCCTCCCTGGGCCGGACGTGGGAACAGCAGCCCTCCCTGGGCCGGACGTGGGAACAGCGGCCCTCTCTGGGCTGGACTTGGGAACAGGAGCCCTCTCTGGGCTTAACTTGGGAGCAGGAGCCCTCTCTGGGCTGGACGTGGGAACAGCGGCCCTCTCTGGGTTTGACTCCGGGGCTGGAGCCGACACTGGAGCGGACTCAGGGGCTGGAGCCGACACTGGAGCGAACTCGGGCTGGTTCCAACACTGGAGCGGACTCAGGGGCCAGAGCCAACAGTCTCTTTCTCCGCATTCTCCTCCTTTGAGCAGAGGTGAAGGAAACAGCTGCTGTCAGCTGAGGGCTTGGGAGTGAATTGGCCGGCGAACATGACAATGGAGCGGCCGGCAGACTTGAAACTTGAAAGACCTCCCTTGTCTGGGAGGTCGACGGGGCGATGGTAATTGGCCCCGATCCAGAACAGAGAATTCAGCTTTGCATCATCCAACGCTGTTATCGCCGTGAGCCCACAGAACTCCCGGGTGTTTGCAGTGTTTAATTTCGGAATTAATACGTGTTTTGAGCGAATCAGGTGAATCAATGATTCAAAGGCCTATAGACCTTTATCACAGCGGAATTGATTACCGGAAGTGCTCGTCGAAGCAGTGTATTGATTCTTCCCGTTATGTATATTTTTCAATGTGCTGTAATCACTTAGTTGAATTAAAATGAGCATCTGCAGGATGATTTCAAAATTCAGAAATTCAGAAATTTTCAGAAATAGGTGAAGAGATATTCTGATGATTACTGCGTACAGAATGTTCCAAACTCAATGGAACTTGTAGTTTTAATCGTAAGCTGATCTGAGAAAGCCATGGCTCGTAAACATGCGTGATGATTTCACCACACAGTGCTGCAGTGTTCGTTTAAATTAGGGATGCAACGATACCATTTTTCCAGAACCGACCTGATCCGATACCAGAAATTGTGAGTATCGGCCAATTCCGATCCGATCCGATATCAGCACAGTTTTTTTTTTTTAAATCAATGTAGAATTTCTATACTTCTGTGTTGACCTGATCATCACTCTTGTGTATGTTAAACACAATCTGACAATAATCTAAGTCTAAAAATATAGACAACTTAATTTTAATGAAAAATAACAAATGAAAAAATATATAATCATAATCTATGACAAAAAATACTATTCTAAACTAGGCTAGTCGATAATTCAGCAGCAAAAGTTATTCTAGAAAAATCATGGGTGCACAATAATTTTATAAAAACATTAAACTAAACTAACATTAAGTGAAACAACATTATTTAGTGGGGAACAAAATAATTCTTCCGTGCGGAATGATGCGCTTGAAGCAACATGGAGTCAGTATTGTTGTAGTATTGTTGTCGCCGCCGCCAAGTCGTGAAGGCGCTGTGTGTTTCGTTGTGAAAGCGAAACTACTTTGTTTGGCCTTCCAAAAGAGGACGATATCCGCTTCGTCATGCCTAGAGTTGATCCATATTGGTCGCTGAGGAAATACATCAACTTCGCGCTGTGGATCGCCGGATCGGCTTTCACCGTGGACAAAGCGGAGTCCAGCCCGGGGTCGTCACATGTGGTTGCCGCAAGCCCGCCGGACATTCCTTTGTTGAATCCGCCGGCCGCGCCGTTCTCAAGCCCGCCGCCCTCCGCTCACTCTAGCCTGCCGGCCGCCGCTCACTCTGTGGAGTCGCTGTGTGTTTCGTTGTGAAAGCGAAACTACTTTGTTTGGTCTTCCAAAAGAGGACACGACTACAAATCAGTGGTTAAGTTGTATTTACAGCACTGTTCCAGAATAGTTCAACCCAAATATTCAGATGTGTGCAGCACATTTTATGGAGGACTGTTTCCTGATCCTGGGAGAGTAGACTACAATGCCAGCTGTTCTGACTCGCAGACTGTAAGTACGTTTTTTATATTTAAAGAATTTGCCACTGACGATTCAAACACGAGTTTTGAGCAGTGTAGAGTAGCACTTGTTGTTTGTCATTTCTCCGATCACAAATGCAGACATTTATGTTTACACAGCGCGATTCAACGCAACGCGTAAAAAGATGGATGCAACAAATGCCTCGTTTATAATGGGTTTTAATGTTTTTGTCTCGTCGCTCCGG